CAAGCAGGCTCTGCACTGTCAGCACAGAGCCCAACACAGGGCTTTAACTCAGAAACCTCAAGATCATGACCAGAGCGGAAACTAAGAGTCAGATGCTTAACTGACTGAGCCACCCAGGTGCCCCTAGATTTTTTAAAAAGATTTATTTCTAAGTAATCTACACCCAGTGTGGGGCTTGAACCCACCACCCCGAAATCAAGAGTCATATGCTCCATTGACTGAGCCAGCCAAGCACCCTTAGGTATAGATTTTTTGGTAGTTATCCTTCTTGGTGTTCTGAGCCTCTTGGACTTGTGGTTTGATGTCTGTCATTCATTTTGGAAAATTCTCAGTCATTATTGCTGCAGATATTTCTTCTGTTTCCTCCCCTCTTCATCTTCTGCATTCCATGTATGTTACACCTTATGTAATTGCCCCAGGGTTCTTGGATTTTCTATTCTGGTTTTTTCATTTTACTTTTTCTCTACTTTTCAGTTGGGGAGTTTTCTACTGACACATATTTAAGCTCACTGATTCTTTCCTTGGCCATGTCCAAGGTACCAATGAGCTTATGAAAGGAATTCTCAGGGGTGCCTGGCTAGTACAGTCAGTAGAGCATGTGACTCTCAATCTCCCAGTCATGAGTTCAAACCCCACTTTGGGCATGGAGCCTACTTTTTAAAAAAAAAAGAGGGGCAGGGGCCCCTTCGCTCACTTGGTTAAGCATCCAATTCTTGATTTTGACTCAGGTCATGATCTCATGGTTCGTGAGTTTGAGCCCTGCGTCAGGTTCCGCACTGACAGCACAGAGCATGCTTGGGGTTCTTTTTCTCTCTGCCCCTCCCATATGCTCTCTTTCTCAAAATAAATACATAAATTAAAAAGTATATGTTAAAAATAAAAGGAGTTTGACACTCACCATATTAAATGGGGTGCTTGGCTTGCTTCGTTGGTAGACCATGCAACTCTTGATCTCAGGGTTGTGAGTTTGAGCCCACGTTGGGTGTGGAGATCACAAAATCTTTTAAAAATAAAAAGGTGGGGTGCCTGGGTGGCTCAAGCAGTTAAGCATCTGACTTTGGTTCAGATCATGATCTCGTGATTTGTGAGTTCAAGCCCTGCTTTGGACTCTGTGCTGACAGTTTGGAGCCTGGAGCCCGCTTTGGATTCTGATTTGTAACATTTCCTTTTGATTCTTTCTTAGAGTTTCCATTCCTTTGCTTACATTGTCCATCTGTTCTTTGCATGTTGTCCACTTTCCCATTGCAGCCCTTAGCGTATCAGTCATAGTTATTTAAATTCCTTTTTTAAAAACAATTTTAATGTTTTTTAAATTTTTATTTTTGAGAAAGAGAGAGAGGGCGTATGCGTGCGCGCAAGTCAGGGAGGGGCAGGGAGAGAGGGAGACACAGAATCCGAAGCAGAGTTCTAAAGTAAATCAGGCTGAGTTAAAATCCTGGCTCTGCCACTGGCTAATACTTGTGTGACTTGGTAAAGTTGCTTATCTGTGCCCTAGTTTTCTCATCCTTACCATGGGGTTAGATTAAAGGGTATTTATTTTATAGGGTTATTGTGAAGATAAATTCAGAAAATGCATGTAAGCACCAAGCAAAGTGTCTAGCATAGAGTCAAAGTTCAGTAAGTGTTAGCTGTGATAAATATCATCTGGTCCCCACATGCCCTGTGTGCGGTCAACGCTGGCTGTTCTTTTTGCCTGGTACACCTCTCCTCTATCTATCTTCTACCCGTCCTTCAAAACATTATTTCTTGTTTTCGCAAAGCATGTTCAGAATCCCTCATCTGTTTTATTTGTGTTTTAAAGTTTATTTATTCATTTTGAGAGAGAGATAGTGCAAGTGGGGGAGAGGCAGAGAGAGGGAAAGGGAGAGAATCCCAAGCAGGCTCTGAAATGTCAGTGCAGAGCCTGATGTGGAGCTTGAACTCAAGAACCACGAGATCGTGACCTGAGTGGAAACCCACGAGTTGGACCTTAACCGACTGAGCCACACAGGCGCCCTATCCCTCGTCCATTTTAGATAAAGTGATCATATAATTTACTACCCCAAACAGGACACTTTTGAGAGTGGAAGGGGATGCTATTAACAATTGCCTCAGGACAATAATCCCAGGAAAACTGGGAGATAAGATCGTCTCAATTTTAGATGCCTCTTCTCTGGTTTTCCATTGCCCTCAGTGTCCACAGCATTGTTCACACTGCTGTCCTTTTGGCTTTACTTGTCTTTTACGTCCCATTCTGTAACTCCTTGAGGGCAGGTGCATTACCTCAGTCAGAGCCATGGCCTGAGACCTCTCACAGGACCAGCATGCACCACACGCGTACACAGAAGTGATGAGAGTGATCATGCCACATGTTCATTTTCACCTTTGTCTGTAATTGTTTCTACCTTGAATGTGATCCATGCCTTCGGCCTCTTTCAGATCAATCTATCTTCTTCTTCTTCTTTAAAATTTTAATGCTTTTATTTATTTTTGAGAGAGAGAAAGAGACAGAGCGCCAGCAGGTGAGGGCAGAGAGAGAGGGAGACACAGAATCCAAAGCAGGCTCCAGGCTCTGAGCCGTCAGCACAGAGCCCTACGCGGAGCTCAAACTCACAAACCACAAGATCATGACCTGAGCCGAAGTCGGATGCTTAACCATCTGAGCCACCCAGGCGCCCCAGATCAATCTGTCTTCTGGGGTGCACATTCCAGCTCTTGTGGGAAGCCCCCTTTTCTTACTTTGCTCCTCCATCTCTGCTTTCTCTCATCTCCTGTACGTACTGTTGCATATATATTATATCCTGTTCCATGGGTGGGCTCTTGTTCCCCAGTAACACTCAGCTCCCCAAGGATAGGCACGGTGTTGCCCTTTTTTTCCAGCGTCTCCCACAGTATGGTCAAGCACAGGGCTGGCTACCAGCAGGCACTCAGGAAACATATTAGTGTCGGTTTCTCAGTCTGGGACCATTCACTGGGGCCTGCCCAAACTTAGTCAAACGATGCTAGTGGTGGGTGAAAGCAGGCATTCTACAACTGCGGGAGGTGTTCAGGGCCTCCGGGGCAGACTGTAATTTGGGGGACAATCCTCATTTCCCCTCTCTGTTCCTTAAGTCCCCAGTTTTGTGTGTGAACAAGATGGAGGCTGATCTGTCTGGCTTTAACATTGATGCTCCCCGTTGGGACCAGTGCACTTTCCTGGGGCGGGTGAAGCACTTCTTCAATATCACAGACCCTCGCACTGTCCTGGTACCAGAGCGGGAGCTGGACTGGGCCAAGGTGATGGTGGAGAAGAGCAGGTGAGCAGCTAGGGGGGAGGGGGCTGGAGGCACTAGGGCAACACTGATGGATCCCTGTGGAGAAGGTGGAAACTAAAGATATGGGAATAGGCAGAGCTCTCAGGAAGGGGGGAGCAGGATGACCTGGGGCAAGGGGCCTGGGAGGTAACTGTGTCCATTATCCTTGGGTGGCAGGATGGGTGTTGTGCCCCCAGGCACCCAAGTGGAGCAGCTGCTGTATGCCAAGAAGCTGTACGACTCAGCCTTCCATCCTGACACCGGGGACAAGATGAATGTCATCGGGCGGATGTCCTTCCAGGTCCCTGGTGGCATGATCATCACGGGCTTCATGCTCCAGTTCTACAGGTGGAACCTGGGAGCAAGGTGGTGGGCAGTGTGGCCACTTGGATCTGCTAGGCAGGGAGCCATATTATGATGACAATCACAGCCATCTTTATTGACCCCTTACCAAATATCAGGCACTGTGTGAAATTCTTTGCGTATGTTACCTCACTTAATCTTCTCATCAGCCCTACAGAGAGGTACTGTATAGATGAAGAACGGAGGTTCTAGAGAGGTGACGTAAGTTGTCCAAGTCCACACACAGCCAGGAAATACGGGTGCCTCTCTAGAATTCTCAACGAATCAGCCATCCTACTTCCCTCTTTAGAAAGTACTTATTCAACAATGAAATATTAACGTATTTTTATAACGTAATGTCCCAGTAAAAAATATAGGAAGGTGACCCCCCCGCCCCTCCTCCCCACCCCCAAAATTAGGAAGACCTATAGGAGGGAATAAACTTTCTCTGTAGCTGCTGGATATTTTACTCCTCTCCTTTCCCCTCTTCTTTCTGCCCCTTCTCCCCCATGCATCCATTTGTCCAGCCAGGCCTCGGGCCAGGTGTTAGGCATATAAAAACTTTAGCCCCTGTCCTTAAAGAGCTTCTCCAGTTTTGTTGAGGAAACCAACAAGTAAACAGTTATAGGTCAGCTTGCTAATAGGTAGGTTGTGGGGAGAGCATGGGGTTGTGAGAACGGGGAGCATAGAATGACTCATTGTTCCAGGAAGGGCCGGGGAAGGGTCAGGAAGGTTTTGAAGAAGTGATGTCTCAACAAAGCAAGATTTAGTCATGTATGAAAGGGGTGTGTGTGTGTGTGTGTGTGTGTGTGTGTGTGTGTGTGTGTGTGTGTGTTCCAGGCAGAGGGACCAGCCTGTGCAAAAGCCCAGGTGCATGAAACAGCATGGGAAGTTTGGGGAACAGCAGGTGATCTGGGTTGTACACCAAGCCTTGCATTGACTCCCCTCTGCGTCTCTGGGCCTTCCTTATGGTAGGACGATGCCGGCTGTGATCTTCTGGCAGTGGGTGAACCAGTCCTTCAATGCCTTAGTCAACTATACCAACAGGAATGCAGCTTCCCCTACATCGGTCAGGTAGGAGACTTGAACCCCAGGCTGTCCACGTGGGTCAGGAGCAGGTAGCTGTCCTCGTGAGGGGAACAGCCCTTCTAAAGGGTTCTCGGGCTATCTTCTCCAGGCGGGGCTTATTCTGGGCAGGTGACCAAGTCCCTCTTTTTACGGTTTGCAAGTATTTTCTGAGGCTGACTAGGAGAGTATCTTCCTAGACTAGTTCAAAGTTCATTCATTCATTCATTCTCAAATATTTCTTGGGTAGGTATTAAGTGCCAGGCATGGTTCTAAGGTCCCTGTTCTTATGGAATTTAAGGACTTGTAAGGAAGCAAGCACGATAATCTTAGATTGTAACTGCTGCCATTAGGGAAATAAACAGGTGACAAGATAACAAACAGCAGAGGGGCATCTGTGTAGATAGGCTGGTTGGGGGAAATCTTTTCTGTGGAGCCCGTATTTCTGCGGATTTCTGAAGGATAAGGATTTAGCAACGTGGAGCCGACAGAAGAATTCCCCATATAGGGAGCAACAGCATGCAAGGGTTCTGAAGCAGAAATGAGTTTGCTCTTTGCTTAAAGTACTGAAGGTGGCCCAGGGGGCTGGAGCGTTGTGTGTGTTTAGGGGGGCGTGTCATAAGACGGGATGGGGGATAGTTCACATGAGCTTCTCAGGCATGAAGCCTCGTGTCCAGACTTTCTCAATGAAGTCTCGGTCTTGCCCTCAGCCAGCAGGGCTCCCCACTCCCACGCATGTCTTTCCTCCACTAGGCAGATGGCCCTCTCCTACATCACAGCCACAACCACCGCGGTGGCCACTGCTGTGGGCATGAACATGTTGACAAAGGTACGGTCTGGGGCGGCTGTGGGCATGGTGGCCACTAGGGGGCAGCAAAGTCCTAGGGAAAACTTTGCCCAGGCCTGGCACTACCCTTGTCTGGGTGAGTGGGGTATGGCCCAGACCAAAGCCAACTAGTGGGAGAGGTAGCCGAGCTATCCCCAGGTTGGTCTTTCTTGGGTCTTTGAGGGAATTTGGGTTCCTAGACCAAATGTCTGGATGAGTGGCAGAAGCAAGGTCTCATTTCTTGGTTTATAGTCCTTATTGTTCCTTTCCCCCAACAGAGAGCTCCACCCCTGGTGGGCCGCTGGGTGCCCTTTGCCGCTGTGGCTGCTGCTAACTGTGTCAACATCCCAATGATGCGACAGCAGTGAGTATGGGGCTCCCTTTGCCTCCCTACAAACCCTAAGGTTAGTGGGGCCAGGGCAGGAAACCAAGGCAGTGGGTGGCTTTGGGGGCTGAGGTGGGTGTGGGGAGGGCTGCCGGGCTGCTCCAACAGTGATGGCCACAGGAGTGGCAGGTGACTTAGGTTTAGTCTGTGTTGAATGTTGTGGGAGTCATTTTTTGGATCGTGTGGGATGAGGGTGGGGGTAGGGTGGACTCTGGAGGTTTGTACGAGATCGTGTCCTTTCAACTGCAACTGCAATTTAAGTTGTGATCTCTGCCTACTTCCAAAGCCCTGGGCATGGCTTACAGAACGAAATGTAGCAAAGCGAGGCGTCCAAAGATAGAACAGAGCCAAGAAGCTTTGAAAGAAGCCAGAGGAGTAGACAGATGTTTTCCAGGCACCGGGCTCTAAGCTTCGCAGCAGGAAAGGTTAAAGGAGAAATCCGTGTGTCTTGTAGTTCTTGTTTTCTGACTCGAGAAAGCATAGATGTTCCTCTGTTGTAAAACTTAATGATGTAATATACATAAAGCACTCACAGTAGCTCTTGGAAGGGATCAAGTGCTACCTAAGTGTTAGCAATTATTGCTGCTGTTACTGTCACGGCCTTCATCACCATCACCAGTCTCTACTAGCCCTGTTTTCTTGGGACTGCTAGCAAGCGGGAATTCAGCACAATAGCGCTTGTGGAAAGAGTCCACGACGGGAAGAGTCATGCATACACATTGTTCCTCTCTTTCCCTCCTCTATCCAGGTGCTCCTTCCCAACAAATGAATGAGCCCCAGCCACCTATCTGGTCTGGGGTCGAGTGCTGTCGAGAACTGGCCAGAGAATAATAGCCAGTGCAGCCACTATTTATGGAGCAGTCACTCTGTCAGGCGCCGGATTAAGTACTTTGCAGGCATTGGTCCCATTTAATCCTCACCATTCCTATGAAGCGAGTGCCATGATTATCCCCATTTTGCAGATGAGGATAACAGAGTCTTTAGAAGGATTTGGGAACCTGCTCAAGATCAAAGACTTACTCAGCATTTTCAGAATCCAACCTAGGCAGTCTGAGCCCCAGCCTAGCTCTCTTAGCCACTGCCCTAGATCACTTCCAAGATGTCGCTCACTGGAATACAGAAGGAAGATCAAAGGGCCAGACTGTAGGAGGTGGCTTCCTGGAGCTGGAGTGTGCTGGCCTTGGTTACCTGCTGTGTCACGTTGCTGGCAAGCTTCCAGCATACCCTTCCCACGTTCAGCAGCTCCTGTCTGTGTTTAGGGAACTCATCCAGGGCATCTGCGTGAAGGACGGAAATCACAATGAGATTGGTCATTCCCGGGTGAGCAGAGGCATCCCTTTGGAGTGGGAGGAGGGAATTGTCTTATACCCTGTTTTGTTGTTAGTGGTCAGAGCTGGCCCGGGTTCTGTTGCAGGGTCCCCCTGACTCCGTCCTCCTTCCCCTTGATTTCCGTACATTTCTTGTTCAGAACAAGCTTGTCATGTCCTTTCTCCATCATTTCTGGTCCTGAAGCCATAAAAGTCTAGCTAGGTGAGAGAGGGTTGGGTGAGGATGCAGCCCCTGACAGATCCATCCCTTCCGCTTTACCAACTCAGACCTGATCCTGACCCTTGACCCAGCCTGCTGGTGCAGCCCACGGATACTGGATGAGGTCATGCCTGACAACTTGCTCTTTTCTGCCCTCAGAGAGCTGCGGCCATAGGCATCACCCAAGTGGTCATTTCTCGGATCACCATGGCAGCCCCTGGCATGAGTAAGATAAAGAAGTCCTCCTGTCCTGGGGGACCCTGGAACATGTGATGGAGGCCTCAACCACACTCAGCTTTTGGGTGGGAGGTGGGGCCCCAGCTTCTATAGCCATGCTTCTCAAAAAACAAATGATAATTCTGTGATGTGGTAGAAATTGCAACTGAGGCTATGCTGGGGACCATATTACATTGTATAAATCTACCAGATCCACATGCTGTATACCTTACTCCTACATAGTGCTGGAGTGCAGAAGCCCACGGGAGACCACACTGTAGTTTCCAGAACATCAGTCAGTCAGAGATGTGGGGAAGAAAGTTCTTTTTCATTCCACAGATACTCCTTAAGTACCTTCAATGTGCTGGGCACAGTGTGGGGTGCCAGGAAGACAGTGGTAAAGAAAATAAATTCCTTGCCCTGGTTTTGCTTTTAGCAGAGGCATGTTACAGAGTAGGATAGGAGATTTGTTTGCGTGAGCCTTCAAAGATTTAAGTTTTGAGAAGGACGCTTGGGGCCTGCAGTACATGTCCTGTCACAGGTGTGCAAGTGGAGAAGTTTGGGAAGCACCCTTCTCCTAGGACTTAGGGGACAGCTTGGGGGTGGCTGCACCTACACAGTCTTGAAGTATTTTCAGGAACGTCAGGGGAGGTGGAGGGAATCACCTGACTTTGGGAAGGGGTCTTGGAGAGAGTCTTATGGCCTTCCCCCGAGATTCTCCCTGGTCTCTTGCAGTCTTGCTGCCAGTCATCATGGAAAGGCTGGAGAAGCTGCGTTTCATGAAGGTGAGTGGGGTTCCCTTTTGCATCTTCTCTGCCCAGAGCCCCCCAGCCATACTTAGGAGCACCTGATCCTCATCCTTCCCTCTAGCTGCTGGCCTTACCTCCTTCAGGGAGGGCCCATACCAGTCTCCGCTGGCTGCCCGCTTTAGATGCCATAGCTGGTTGCTTGGCTTTGTCCGTAGAGAGCAAGAGGAACCCCGTTCTCCCTCCTTCACGGCTAGGCGTTTCATGCCTGTGGGTTTCTGGCTGACTGAGCAGGGGTAGGGCAGGCGTGGGGTTCACATTAAGATCTGTAAATCTTACGTGGATCTTTCTTTTTATTTGTTTTTTTGTCCAGAAAGTCAAGGTCCTGCATGCCCCGTTGCAAGTTCTGCTGTCGGGGTGCTTGTGAGTAATGTGTTTTCTCGTTGTGGGTTCTGTGGCAGCTGGGTCACCCAAGCACTGTCTTCTTGTGTCGCCCATGCTGGAGAACGTGCTCTCTTTTACCTGACTTCCATAGTGCCTGAGCTTTGTATGTGGGCCACACAGAGAGCTCTGGCCCCATCTTTCTTGAAGGTATCAGGCTGGCTAGGCTCTATGCACACATCCGCATGGAGAGCGGAGTGCTTGGGTGCCCTCCTGTCCGGGGCCTCCTCTGACCTTCAGACTGGAGAAGAGAGGAAAACCACAATCCAGTCCCACTACAAAAAAGAAATGATAATTCTGTGACAGTGATAGAGGTGTCCGCTAATGCCGAGGTGGTAAACGTATTGCAATGTCTCACTGTATCAAGTCAACATGCTCTACACCTTACATGGACACCGTGTTCTATGCCAACTATATCTCAGTATAAATCAATTAAGTAAATACACAGACCTGCTGAGACATAACAGTGATGGGACAGCCTGTGGCCGTCACGTGTCCCAACCTCGCACAAAAGGAAAACACCATAGGCGCCTGGGTGGCTCTGTCGGTTAAGCATCTGTCTCTTGATTTTGACTCAGGTCATGATTTCCTGGTTCGTGAGATCGAGCCCTGTGTTGTGCTCTGTGATTACGGCACAGCCTGCTTGGGATTCTTTCTTAATCCCTCTCTCTCTGGTCCTAGCCCACTCACACTCTCTCCCTCCCGCCCCCCAAATACACAAACATTTGAAAAATAAGTAAATGGACTGCCTGGGTGGCTCAGTGGGTTAAGTGTGTTGGCTTTGGCTCACGTTATGATCTCACAGTTCCTGAGTTCAAGCCCAGCGCTGGGCTCTGCACTGACAGCTCGGATTCTGTGTGTGTCCCTCTTTCTCTGCCCCTCCCCTGCTTGTGCACATGCGCGCCCTCTCGTGCTCTCTCTCTCTCAAAAATAAATAAATAAATCGGGGCGCCTGGGTGGCGCAGTCGGTTAAGCGTCCGGCTTCAGCCAGGTCACGATCTCGCGGACCGTGA